CACTATATATGTAAAATTATGTGTGAGAGGAAAAAACAAACTGAGGGTTGCTGGAGGGGAGGGGGGTGGGGGGATGGGGTAACTGGGTGATGGGCATTAAGGAGGGCACGTGACGTAATGAGCACTGGGTGTTATACGCAACTGATGAATCACTAACCTCTACCTCTGAAACGAATAATACACTATATTTTAATTAACTGAATTTAAATTAAAAAATAAAATTATATGTTGTATGTATGTATATTTACATGTATATTTTGTGTTTGTGTTCGTTACTCTATTTCAGTTACCGTTGGACCTCCTGAGAACGTCTGGGTGACCCCGGGAGAAGGCTCCCTGATCATCAGATTCTCCTCTCCCTTCGACATCCCTGCCTCCCTGGCCACTTTTGTGTACTATGTCCATTACTGGGAAAAGGCAGGAATCCAAAAGGCAAGAGCATTTTTCTACTTTGTGTTGATTTTCTGATACAGCAAAAGTAAGTAAACTGGAAACTGGACAAGGAGGACAGAGCCTCCCAGTGTTGCCTTAGTCTGAGCCCCGAATCGGGTTTAATCCTTCCCTTCAAGACCCGAGCTTCTGCTCCCTATGCTGAGCCTTCCCTTCTGCCAGGTGGCTCTGAACTCCCCTCTCTGCCTGACAGCACGCCATTCCCGTTGTTTGGGGTGCGCACGGAGCCCCTGGGGCCCTCTAAAGGCTGGAGAAGGTTTAGAGGGCCTGTTTCTACAACAAGGAATCCATCCCTGCAGTCTGCAAGGTTTATATAAATTACTCCGGTTTGAGTGATTTACAAAGAGAGCATGTGTGAACAGGTGAAAAGTCTACTGGGAAGAGAGAGACCCTTCTAGGGAAGAGGGCGGAGGGTGTGGGAAGGTTCGGGATGTCTGGGGGACTGCAAGTGCTAGGGTCCGTCGGGAATGCAGGAGGGGCTGAGGTGCGTGAGACCGGCAGGCCCTGGTCAGCCCTACATAATACGAGGGAAGATGCTGGCCTTCAGTCCTCTGCAGTGCCTGATTATCCAAGCTGCATATCATGAAGTTTTATTATCGATGTAAGCTTCAGGGTTTCCTAAACTCAACAGTATTATAACCATTTTGTTTTGTTTGTTTTCCGGTTTTATTGTGATATAACTGACATTCATCACTGTATAAGTTTAAGGTGATTATAGTCTTTTTATAATAATACGAGCTGATGTTTATCGAGAGCTTTCTTTGCATTGGGCCCCGGGGCCAGGCATTTTAGATACATCATCTCATTTAATCTTTGTACCGAGCCGTGTCACAGAGAAGGGAACCAACTGGTTGAATAAGTTGCCCAAGGTCAGCAGCTGACAGCTAGCACATCTGAGCCCAGAGTCCATGTTCCGCAGTTTTTCTTTTTTTTTTTTTTAAGATTTTATTTATTTATTTGTCAGAAAAAGAGAGCACAAGCAGGGGGAGGAGCAGAAGGAGAGGGAGAAGCAGACTCCCTGCTGAGCAGGGAGCCCCACACGGGGCTCGATCCCAGGACCCTGGGAACGCTCAACTGACTGAGCCACCCAGGCTCTCCCATGCTCTGCAGATCTTCTCCCACATAGTTTATATGTGTATTTCCTACTCATTTCTTTATGGTGAATCTTAAAACATTGAGGAAGGCAAAACTCACTGAAGAATAGACTCTTATCATATGGGGAGAAAGGAACTAACCATTTCCCCGAATGAAGAGGTCAAGATCTGGTCAACTGGAATAGAGAAGGCCTGGAAGATTCCAGAAGGGATTCCCCTTTATCCCATTCCACCAGAGCAGCTATACTTTGGACTTCTGTGAACAAAAGATGCTAGGGCTCAAATGAGTCTGAGAGCCTCCAAAATATCTCCATTCCAGCTAAGAGTCCGTGTCCCCAAGACCAGCCCCTGGATTTGCTGGAAGGACCCACGGGACTTGGCATATGGTTGTATTCACGGCTATGGCTTATTACAGAAGAAGGGCACAAAGCAAAATCAGCAAGGGGAAGAGGCACATGGGCCAAACTCCAGAGGAAGCCAGATACAAGCTTCCAAGAACCTTCTCCCGAAACAGACAGGACACACTTAATTCTTCCAACAACCAACTGTGACAACAGGTGAAGTGTTGTCTACCAGGGAAGCTTATCAGAGACTCAGTGCCCAGGGGTTTTACTGGAAATAACAGGCCTCTTCTCCCTAGCACAGTTCAAAATTCCAGACTCCTAGAAGGAGAGCAGGTGGTCAGCATAGAAAACATTGTTTTTACCATAAGCCGCCAATATTGGTTAGGGAATGGTGGGGACATTTCTGGATTCCAAGTTCCCAGAGGCCAGCTATGGTTAGCCTTGCAAGCAGGCCCCCCAAGGACAGCGGTCTCTGCAGTCTGTGATTCTAAATTCTAGAAATGCCAACTGGCGGCAGAAATAAACCCCGAAGGAAGTTTGTACTTAAAATTGCTTCATGTGGTGGGGCGCCTGGATGGCGCGGGTCGGTTAGGTGCTGGACTCTTAGTTTGGGCTGAGGTCATGATCTCTGGGTTGTGATCTCTGGGTCACGGGCTCGAGCCCTAGTAGGGCTCCACGCTCAGCAGGGAATCTGCTTGAGATTCTCTCCCTCTCCCTCTGCCCCTCCCCCACCACACTTACTCTCTCTCAAATAAATGAATAAATGTTTTTTAAAATTGCTTTATGTGGCATCCCAAGCAAAAATTTTCCTCCTCTGCCCTGGCAGTCCATCACCATTAAACAGAAGAAAAAAAAAAATCATCTATGACCCTACTATTCCTAAGTAATGTGATTATTTTACATTTTTAAAAATAAGATGCTCTCGGGCGCCTGCCCCTTAAGCGTCTGCCTTCGGCTCAGGTCATGATCCCAGGATCCTGGGATCGAGCCCCGCATCGGGCTCCCTGCTCGGCGGGAGGCCTGCTTCTCCCTCTCCCGCTCCCTCTGCTTGTGTTCCCTCTCTCGCTGTGTCTCTCTCTGTCAAATAAATAAATAAAATCTTAAAAAATAAATAAATAAATAAAAATAAGATGCTCTCTACATACTATTGAATAATCTGCCCGTTTTCAGTCAACGCTATCGCAGCTTCATCTCCATGTTGCTGAGCATATGTTATACCACCGTTTCAAATGACTGTAGCATTTCCTACTACATCTCAAAATAGGAAAGCAAGCCCCTTATGAGAAGTCCCGTACTGCCACAAAATATCTTTCCCTCCTTTGGGAAAGGAGGAACAATGCCGACTTTGTCCAGGAGAGCGAGAAGCCGTTGACTAGAGGGATCCAGGTGGGGGGGTCGACGAGGCCTGAGGGAGGCGGCAGCAGGGACAGGCCAAGAGGAGGAGACCGAATCCTCAAGAATCTGGAATCCGGCTGTGTCCCGATTACACAACTCATGAAGACCATGTTGACCAAAACTGTGTAAGAGGCACAGCGCATTCAGTTAAAACTAAAAGCAGACTCGGAACTAAAGGAACATTATTTCCCACGATGATTTTTTTTTTCTGTTCGTTGACTAGCTTGAAGTATCTAGAATACATTAACCGTGAAGTACAAAATAGTGATACAAAGTCAATGCACTGGGCATTGAAGCAATTTTATTTTTTTTTTAAGATTTTATTTATGTATGTATTTTAGAGAGAGGGAGCGTGCAGGGGGGGAGGGAGAGGGATGAGCAGACTCCCCACTGAGCATGACACGGGGCTCGATCTCACCACCCTGAGATCATGACCTGAGCTGAAACCAGGAGTCGGACGCTTAACTGAGCCACCCAGGCACCCCATGGAAGGAGAAAAGTCCATCCCAGACATAGGGGTTTGCTCAATTCCAGTGGCAGACGTCCTGTGGCTGCAGTGGGCCCTCTGAGGCCTCACAGCCAGAAACACAGCTCTAAAGCCATCAGCGTCTTTCTCCACACGGTTCACCAGCTTTCACACATAAAATGTGTCCACTGCAAGCCAGTGACTCTTTCAAAACAGCAGCTCCTTCTTCTTTGGTGATGGAAACGTCGGAAAAGCTAGAAGTGGCTCAACCACGTCTCTTTGGGTCATTTTCACACGTGCCTGTTGGCGTTTTTTACGTAGGTTAAAGGTCCCTTCAGGAGCAACTCCGTTGTGCTGAATGACTTGAAACCCTTAAGAGAATACTGTTTACAAGTGAAGGCGCATCTGGTTTGGACATACTACAACAACATCTCTAGACCCGGACATTTAAGCAACATATCTTGCTACGAAACAACAATGGATGGTAACATGTGCCTTTCTTACGTCCTTTCTGAGCTGGGATAAGAATCCTCCCCAAGTAGTGAAACCGGGGCTGGCTTACGAGGTGGAGGGCGGTGGGAGGGGGGCGACCCAGAGAGAAGGCACGAGAAGCCAGCACGCAAGTAGGTCTAACCAGCTCATGCTGAGATCTACAACGGTAACACCGCTGGACAGCTAACACAGCTTGATTTTAGGATTGCTTGTACTAGTTACACACTCGAGCATGTGAGGCTGGGCGGAGGAGGGACAGTATGTGTCCATCTCCCAAGGACATGGACACGATCTAAGCAGTTGGCAGGTGAAGAGTGAGCCGTGTTTGTATCATGTGTGGGATGGGTCTCTTGTTCACTCTCGTGCCATCTTTTTTAGCCACTACCAAGCTTCAACAAGTCATTATCATTGCCGTGGGTATCTTTCTGTTGCTGTCGGCGCTGGCGGGGGCCTGTTTCTTCCTGGTCCTGAAATACAAAGGCCTGATAAAATACTGGTTTCACTCTCCGCCAAGCATCCCGTCACAAATCGAAGAGGTACGTGTGCACATATCCAGTGGGTGACATGTCAGCCCTCCATGACCCCCTGGTAATGCCGAGGAGTGCGGCACTGGACAAAGCCATGGACACAGAGAGTGGAGTTAGAAGTGGTTCAGGGTAGGGGCGCCTGGGTGGCTCAGTCGGTTGCGTGTCCGACTCTTGATCTCGACTCAGGTCTTGATCTCAGGGTGGTGAGTTCAAGCCCCGAGTTGGGCTCCCTTCTGGGTGTGGAGCCTACTTAAAAAAGTGGTACAGAGTTATTTGTACACCCCTGTTCATAGCAACATTATTCACAACAGCCAAACACTGGAAGCAACCTAAGCTTCTGTCAGTGGATGAATGGATAAACAAAATGTGGTCTGTCCACACAGTGGAATGTTACTCAGCCGTATAAAGGAAGGAGGTTCTGACTCACACAACGACACGGGTGAACCTTGAGGATATCATGCTAGGTGAAATAAGCCAGTCACAGAACGACAAATACCGTGTGATGCCACTTACATGAGGTACTTAGAGGAGTCAGATTCACAGAGACTGAAAGTAGAGTGGTGGGTGCCGGGGTCTGGGTGGGGAGGGGGAGATGGGGAGTTAGCGTTTAATGGAGACAGTTCTCATTTTGCACAATTAGAACAGTTCTGGAGATGGTGGTGAGGTTTGGATAACCGTGTGAATATATTTTATACCATTTAAAACTGGTTAAGATGAAAATTCTATGTTATGTGTATTTTACTGCAACTTAAAACAATTTTTTTAATGGCGTGAGGTTGGTGAAAAGGGTGGCCTGGTGTGGCCAAGCTTAGGAGCGCGTGAGACCTGCGCCTTGTGGAGAGAGCCCCCAAGACGCCTGGCAGAGGGTGGGAAGGCGGTGAAGCCAGGGCTCTAGGCATGAGCTGTGCACTTAGAAGGATTCTAGAGTAAACGCACCCAGGGCTGTGAGTACAGAGCCTTCCCCACGGAGAGCTCACCAGACGACACTGGTATTTTGAAAGACCTGAGGAAGACGGGTGGACCAGGTCTCGCGGGAAGTTGATTTCCTGCACAGCAACCCCCCTTCCCCGGCTCTGTGCAGTGGCTGAGCCCTCCAAGGAGCTGATGGAAGATTACTTAATTATTAGCAGTAAAATCGGAGTAAAGATACTGGAAACAGAATCTTACTCTGTTACATCTAGAAGGAACAGGTGTTAGATAAGGTCCAAGTCTACAGAGAAAGAGTAGTGCTTCTAGAAATAGAACTGGAGAGGTATTTAAAGTACCCAGACATGGGGCGCCTGGGTGGCTCAGTTGGTTAAGCGACTGCCTTCGGCTCAGGTCATGATCCTGGAGTCCCGGGATCAAGTCCCGCATCGGGCTCCCTGCTCAGCAGGGAGTCTGCTTCTCCCTCTGACCCTCCCCCCTCTCATGCTCTCTCTATCGCATTCTCTCTCA